GTCGGATCACGGCTGGTTCCATGTCAGCCTTGGTGATTTGGGACGACTGGCACGTAAGGGCAGATTGCCTGATGGATACTCATTGCGCCTGATGACCATGATGGCAGGTCATGTTCCTGGGCATCCATTGCGCCTGGCGCTGGTACACACCCTTCTCGCGGACGTACAGAGTCATAGAGCCGCTCGAAATGTGTCGGTTGATGGCTTCCCCTCGGAGCCTGCACATCTGGCCTTGCTGCCCCCAAATTCCATCGTTGTCCTGGTGGACGTACCGGATGAACTGAGGGAGCAGAGACTGTTGGATCGAGCAGCCACGTCCAAACGCAACTGGACCCCCGGCATGGACTCACCTCGGGACATTGCCTTACCTGACTTGATCCAAGCTGCAGCTGCAGCCGGTGTCCTGCGCACGGTCAGCAACACGGGAAATCTGGCGCGGGCCGTAGCCGCAGTGCGAGAACTTGCAGGCGAAAAAAAACCACCCGGTTAGGGGTGGTTTTTGGTCGAACCAGCCTACATGGCCAATTTCTTGTTGGTCACATGTTTGTTTGTTTGTTTCAATCCACGCCCCTCAAGAGGAGCGACTTTGGAAGAGGTTACCCCTCGCCCAAAGCAAATCCTATCCCCATGAAGGGCGAGGCTTCAAACCGGATTTAGTTTCACATCAAGTGATCGGACTTGCCGTCCTTTTCATCCTTGTACCCATCTTTGAATCTGAGGTAGCTGACCCATGCAGCAAACGCCAGAAGTGCAAAATTTGCGATGAGAAAACCGGTCATGATTCTTTCCTTTCGATGTTCACGTTTACCAAGATCATAAGCGTCGATCCGAACAAGAGCAACACCCACCAATAAGGTGCGTTCCAATCCTTGAGAACGGGTACGACGAGGCTGTTTCCAATCATCAAGGCAGCAGCCGTGCGAAGCACCGTTGCGTACCCTGCTGGGTTTGGTCTGATTTTCCACTTCAACATAAAGTTCTCCGTGTGGTGCGCGAAAACGCCACGCGCCCAGCGCGGAGTGCGTTCCACGCTGGTTCAAAAAAAATCCCCCGTCCGCCGAGGCGTCAGGGGGTTTTCTGTGGCAAGGGCGTCAGTTGCTGACGACCACTTCGGTTTCGGCCTCCATCACCGACATGGCGACCTCAAGCCCGTCTGAACAGAGCTCCTTGACCGCTGCGAGCATCTGAACAAGATGAACACCGGTCCCGATGGGGCCGAACTTCTTCTTCAGATACTTCATCATCAGCCCGCTTTCCAGTCTCACTTCTTCTGCGTACAAGGTCAACTCCAGGTACTCCTTGGTACGGGGACCGAACCGCTCCGAGAGCTTGATCCAGTCGTCTACCGCCTTGGTGTCGTCGCCACCGTGGCGGATGCGCACCCATTGAGTCAGCTGTTCGTCGTAGCCGAACCGTTTGGCGTGTGCCCGCATTTGCCCGGTCTCGCTCTCTTCTGCGGCGACCTTTGCAGGCACCGGGATCGGAGTTGAGACCTTGGGTTGAACGTCAGACACAACGTCGGCCCGGACAGGCGCTTGAGACAGCATTTCGGCAGCAACCGCCTTTTCCGCCTTTCTGGACAGGTCTGCCAGGTAGGCTTCATTGTCTGCAACAGCATCACCATCCGGTTGAGCCCATGCCAGAGGCGCCCGAGGCTTTTCGCTTTCATGAACATGCTCACCGCTTGCGCGGGCCTGGGCGATCATGATCACCTTGGGCATCTCAATGTTCACGTCCACTTCCGGTACCCACTGCTCTCCGACCTTCGGGTTGCCCTCTTCGTCGAAATACTTGCGGACGGCCTTTTTCTTGGTCAACCAGAACACCGGACGATGGTCTGACGTGTAGTTTTTCAACTGCCCGCCCATGGCCCGGAATGCCGAGGTCACACGCAGATAAATCTGCGTGGCTGCCTCTGTGCTCCCCGTGTGCAACTCGAACACCCCAGCGCCAGTCACGCCAGGAATGTAGAAGCGCAGCGTGCCGCCGAATCGACACATGCCAGCACCAAACTCCATGCACGTTTCAGGGACACAAAGTCCCCTGACCACAGGTGTCCGTTCGGGATGGCGAATCGGCCTGCCGCTGCGGCGCTGCGCCTGCTCGCTACGCTGAACCTCGGGCAAGTGTTTGCACACCTGCAGCCCAGACTCATCGAATGCCGACCAGTACCGAACGGTGTTTGGTCCACCGCCCTGCACAGCCATTCCGCCCTGCACGATGGCAGAAACGTCGTTTCCGACTTCGGGGAATACGATCGGGAATCGGTAGAGCTTGCGCTCAGTGTCGCCCTCAATCATTTCCCCGTAAAGCTCCAACAGGGTTTCGGTCGTAGCTGCCCCGCCAGTCCCCATGTCCCACGGATGGGCATGGAACTCGCGGGTGTTGCGCGGGTAGAACGGGTTTTTGATGTCCGTATTTGTCGCGATCTCCTTTTCAGCATCGCGGAAGCTCATACGCCCAGCTTGCACCAGGTTGTAGAACTTCATGGCCGTAGCGTTTTCCGCAGCCCGTTTACTGATGGCTTTGGTGCCGACGCGAATCTTCCCGCCGACACTGAATTGCGCACCGCCGCGTTTCGCGAGGTGGCTCTCAAAGAAATTTTTCATCTTTTCTCCGTGGCAGTTACCCGCCATTGGTTATCACCTGTCAAAACGACAGATGATCTTCATTGCCGCAAACACGACATATTGAAGACGNCAGCCTGAAACACTCAGTGAGTCACAGAAGTCAGCACTTAACGTCATCCGCAAATCCGTCAACACCAAGTGCCCGTCCAGCATTCTGTTGAATGGAGACGTGGGCTCAGGAAAGACGCTGGTGTTCCTGCTGGCCTGCGTGGCGATCGCCAAGGCCAGTGGGCGCAGTGTTGGCGTCATGGTGCCCAGCGACCTGGTGGCACGACAGATTCACTCCCAGGCTCTGGTTCGATTCCCCAATCTGAGCCCGACACTGGTATGCGCGGGAGCCTGCAGTAACGAAGCCAGCCCACCCACTACAAGCCCGCGGTTGTATGTGGGCACCCAAGCGTTACTGACCCTGCCAGGACTCGACCTGGCAGCGCTGGTGGTGGATGAGCAGCACAAATTCTCGGTGGAACAACGGGCACGACTGGCTGGCCAGCACACGCACATCATTGAAGCGAGCGCCACGCCCATACCGCGCTCATTGGCGCTGGCTCTGTTTGACGGCTGGGACTACGCAATCATCAGACACGGGCCGATGAGTAAAACCATCATCAATCACATCATCCCGGACAAAGAGAGGCAGCTGGCCAACGACATGATCCGTCGTCACCTGAAAGCAGCCAGAAAAGTGATTTTTCTGTACCCCAGTGTGAACGGTAAAACCGGTTCCAGTGTGGTGAGTCGCGGCAAAGCACTCCAGGAAGCCTTCCCTGGCAAGGTAGGCATCATTCACGGCAAGCTCAAGCCCCAAGAAAAGATCGACGCAATCTCCCGGTTCAGGGACGGGACGACGCCAATCCTCGTGGCGTCCACCGCAGTGGAGGTAGGCGTAGATGTTCCTGACGTTGGTCTGATGGTGGTCTCAGGCGCTGATCGCTTTGGCGTGTCTCAGCTGCACCAGCTGCGCGGACGACTGGTGCGCAATGGTGGTGACGGCGACTTTGTGATGTTGACGCCATCCAGCGCGAGCAAGTCCACCATGGAGCGCTTGCAGGCCGTGGCTGATAACAACAACGGGTTCGATTTGGCCCAGAGGGATTTGGAACTGCGCGGCTTTGGCAACGTGCTCGGTGACATGCAAACAGGGGGAAGCAGCACCCTCTTCAAGCTGGCCCGACTGGAACCTGCTGATTTTCTTGCGGGGTGAAGGGTGGGCTTTCTGCTGATTCCATCTGGGACCAGTAGAAAGCCCCCGAAGGGGCGTTTGTTCGAGTCGCCTAAGACTGAGGCTCGTTAAAAAGCCAAGAACAAATTATTTGGGTGATCCATCATTTGTTCAAAGCCGTATCTACGATAAAAATGCACCGTTGAATCTTTTGCGTTAACAACAAGACCAATCCCGCCAACCTCATTGGCAATACGCGAAGATCGATCAATAGCGTTAAAAAGCAAAAATTCCCCAACACCACTTTTTTGATGATGTTTTGAAACCGCCAATCTCCCTAAACGGAAAACAGGTAGCTTTTTGGGCATATTTTTTATCAGGTGCTTTGGCAGATCGGAATTTATGACTTCAGCAAGACTGATTGAATAAAACCCAATCACATCATTTGGCAATTTCTCGTTGACGGCCACAAATGTAGATGAGACTCGCTTTTCCTTACGCTGCCGTGCAACTTGCTTAAACCATTGATTTAGATCATCATCACCGCAATCAAAATCATTTCTGACATGAATGCTATTCAGAAGAACTATTTGCATTGGCTACCATTTTCTGATAATTGGACAGCGCCTTGGTAAAAATCTCATTCCGCGGAGTGGGATTTTCCATCATTTCAAATAATCTGAGCGATTCTCTTCTTGTAAGGACAATCGTTGATTCGTTTTCAATGATCCTTTCTGCCTTTTCAAGAGCGGCTTGTACCACGAACTGGTTCAGCGTAGCCCCGATAAGATCGGCTGCAATTTGCAAACGATCCTGAACGTGCTCGGTGACTCGCGTAGTTAACCGCTTACCTGTAAGAACTGTCATGGGAAACTCCTGGTGCAAGATCGTTCCAAAATGGAGAGTATGCACCCATGGCGTCATTTTGTCACCTTTTGACTGTGCCGATACTCCCAAGGCGGTACAGGATCATTGTCAGCCCATAGCCCTCGTAGTCCCTGCTGGGCAGAGTGTTGAAGTACATACAGAGTACGGTCCTTGACGTAGCGGTCATAGACCCACGCCATGCCGTTGTTCAGCTGGTGCTTTTGCGCCGAAACGCCATCACACTCGACTGATGCGACAGTACGACCATACCGATCAATGTCCTGCACCAGTAGCGTTGCCGGTTTACCGAAGCATATATCTGACAACGACTGTTTCGACCGTGACCCAAAAGCCTGTTTGGACTCAGGCGCATCGATCTCAGCGAGCCGGACTCGAATTTCAGTCTTCTCTGGTGTCAGCACCTTAACGGTGTCACCATCGGAGACACCCACAACCAGGCCAGTGATCACGCCTTGGGCGTACGCAAAGGCCCAGCAGGACAGCAGCATCACCGTGACAAGTGACTTTTTTGACATGGCGGCTCCTATACCAGCTCAAGTTGAAATTGCGGCAGTTTCGGCAGCTGCAGAGAGAACTCACCCTTCGAGAGAGCAAGACACCAATCCAGCAGTGCAGGCACCATCGGTTGTTTGATCTGGGCAGCATATGCCATCAGATCTTGCTCGATTGTCGCCGGGTTCGTGTAAACCCCGACTTCAGAAGCCAGCATTTTCATGCCCTCCGTACGTGTCGCCTCACTCGACCTGCAGTTGGCAGCGATTGCCAAATGCAATCGGGCGCGTGCAATCTCAGCGCTCATCTTGCTTTTTTTCATGCGTAATTCCTTTACAAAGAGGTTGATAAAGGAGGGGCCAACCATGGATTGGCTTTGAAGTGAACCAAAAGAGATGCACTTCAAAAGCAATTTCACGGGAGAATGGAAACACCCAGTCCATGATCAGGCTGGGTGTTTTAAGTAGGACCGCAGGATTCGCCGAATGCGCCTTGTGGCAGCATCCAGTTCTCCGTGATCACATCCAGGTCGAACGACTTGCTGTTGGCAACTTCAACCCAGAACGGGTCGGTGTTGTAGGGAGCGTCCATGGTGGCGAGCCTTATCACCGAGTCAGTCAGGTGGATCGTCAGACCAAAGTCCGATTCGTACTTGGCAACATCCGCGAACGCATGCGGAGCGATCGCTTTCACTGTGGCCCAATAAGCCCTAGTGCATTCCTGGCTTCAACGTCCCATTTTGCAAGCGCACCCTTGGGGTCGGCCTCAATACTCGCTGCCCATTCGGCACCTTCCTGATCGAGATAGGCAAGCTCCACCTCACGGTAGCACCCAAACTCGTGAGGATTCGAAGTTATCCGGACGCCTGCATCAGCACCCGCTGGAATGGGGTAATGCCGGAGAATTTGGTCCTTGAAAAGTTGACATTCAATACGGCTTTTTTTGCCGTAGTCCACATCCCCGACTTTTGCACAAGGTTCGTCATGTGGTGCAGGCCCAACTTCCTCTATACAGTAGTTCAAAGCAATCATTTAATTCCTTTCGACCCATGATGGGCAAATATTGAAAGGAAGGGCCGGCGGGCTTTCTAATGCCTTTGTTGGTGGCATAAGAAAGCCCCCGAAGGGGCATGTTTTAGATCGAATACCTAAGCCGCTTGCGCCGCCCATTCACTGACTGGCACGCACCAAACGAACCGCGAGGCCGAAGCCACAGTGGTATTCGCCGACGTAGCCATGGCGGAAACCGACGACCAAGGCGTAGTTGGCATAGCCCACATAAGGGGACGATGACCAGTAAAATCCACTCGTCGGCGCCTCTGGCATACCGATGAGGCTTTTCAGTTCCTCGATCGTAGGAAGGCGCCAGTCAGTGTGTCCGCCATTCACCGAGGCATCCGCATTTACCTGTGTGACGTGACGTGACGCATCGCCTTCACGACCATCACCGAAATTGGTGTAACTGGTGGTGAACTCGTCCGGAAAGATGAGCCATTCAAGATTTTTCAATGTTTTCCTTTCTGCCTACAAAAGTGGCGTTGATGAAAGGAGTTGCGATAAAGCGCTCATGTTTGCGTCAGCACGCAAGCATCAGAGTTCATCTACAACTAACCCCGGTTTGAAACCTACCCCTTGTGGATAGAATTCGTTTGGGAGAGGGGTAACCTCTTCCAAATTCGCTCTGAAAGGGGCGTGGATTGAAACATCTATTGATTTTCGCTGGTTTTGCAATTTTCAGCAGTTCGATTGCAGCAGTTATTTTTATTGATTTTGAAAAGAAGCCCCCACCCGCTTAAGCGGATGGGGAGTTCGGTTAGTCGTCAGACAAGGTCAAAACCTGCTTATCGCCCATGTCGATCTCCAGCGATGCGTCAATCTCACTCTTACGAGCAAGTGCCGCAGCCAGTTTCCCTTCATGTTCGAACTGACGTTCTGCGCCGTTTTGAAGCGCCACGATCTCGTCTTTGATGGACGTGATCA